ATATAAAGTCTTTATAATATGTCATTTTAATTTGATCCACTTTTAACCAATCAAGAAATATAATTTGAGGAGAATAGCAATTAAAATTTTAAGAAGCTCTATTTGGTGTTAGAGTAATTAGAGTTTATGTTGGAGATCTGGATACCCCTTGGATCGTGTGAACACTTTTTGAACTAAAATTTTTACCATATGTCTGAGTTGCAAGAAACTCAGCCTAGGATAATCCTAGCCAGGGGCTCTGCTCCTACACCCCGCCAAAGGGGCGCTGCCCCCGGACCCCCGACTTGTCGTCGAACCGGCTTCTAATTCGATCTTATACATGCGTGCACTTCACACATAGCCATACATATATTAGAGTACAAATTATGAAACCCCTTAGCTCACATGTTAGTTCCGATTACATAAGAGAGAATTTCGTATATACCAACATGGTGACACTAAAATCACCAACATTTGGAATGTGACTTCCTTCTGTTTCTCCATTTCTTTTTGTTGTTCTTCCCTTACCTGTAAACAAACCTAATTCGGAAAGATCTTCATTAACAAAAACCTTTTGTTTCAATCATCTTTAGACAACAAAAAATCATTCACATCATTCATAGTGATTGTTGTTCTACCATGGTATCTTGGTAGTGAACATAACATAATGAAAGTTTGATCTTCATCTTCACATAGTTGCTTCTAATACATCGATATTGATGAGCCTCGATCTTACAAAGAGGTTGTAGTGAGTAAAGAAGCAACAAACTAGTTGATGAAGATGAATGAATAAATGCAATCATTGGAGATGAATGAAACATAGGTTCTTGTCCCATTATCGAAAGGAGCAAAATGAATGGGATGTAAATGACTCTTTAAGGGAAAGAATTGAATTATGGGGGTTGAACCGACTAGGTTCAAAGCTAGGTTGGTGGCAAAATGGTTCTCCATGAAATAAGGAATCGAGAAGATTCAAGTACTTTTGGCTATGGCTGGTGCACTTAATCTGGAGTTTGAACAACTTAATGGAAAACTATATTTCTCCATAGCAGTGTAGATAAGGAGATTTACATATCCTATCAAGAAGGGTTTCTGGATTCCAAGAAAGATCACACATGTTACTGGAGAAATCTTTTTGTGGTCTGAAGTAGTCTCCACGACAGTGGTACAAGAGATTTGATTCTTTTATTATTTTTATTGGTGGAATTGGTATAGTACCGTTTCTTTTTTTTCCCCTAAACCATGTATCGTACCATCTATAGTTGGTATAAAAAATTTGCTACCGGTACCATACCAAGTATATTTTGTACCAACATGTTTGGGTACCAAAAAGTTTGGTTGATACAAATTGACAATGATATATACCGACTTCTTTTAATTTTCTATTGTAAACTAAAGAATTCTATTGAAGTAAAGTTAAACTAACGTTTTAATTTTATGCTTTAAGGTGGTAATAACTATTGACTAATGCAACCACATGACTTATATAATATTCTCAAAACTGTAAACACTATACGAATGCGTG